AGAGAGAGAGAGAGAGAGAAAGAAAGAAAGAAAGAAAGAAAGAAAGAAAGAAAGAAAGAAAGAAAGAAAGAAAGAAAGAAAGAAAGAAAAAAAAGGAAAATTGGAGGTCCAGTAAGATAGCTCAGCAGTTAAATGGCCCTTATAGTGGGAGCCTGAAGAGCTGAGCTCCATGTCAGAAGGAGACAAGTAACTCCCAGCAGTTGTTCCTTGGCCAATATGTGCATCACACAGACACACAGACAGACAGACAGACAGACAGACACACACACACACAGAGACACACACAGACACACACACACAGACACACACACACAAACACACACACACAAACACACACACACACACTGAATAGATAGATGATAGATAGATAGATAGATAGATAGATAGATAGATAGATAGATAGATAGATAGATAGATAGATAGATAGATAGATAGATAGATGAGAGATCATTAAATATGTCTTAAGTTTCTTTTAACTTTAGAAGTTATTATCAAATAAACTCTTAGATTTCTTTTGCAGGAAGAGTGCTGTGTCAGATGTTCCTTGTGCTGCCTGACCTTGAATTTTCAAGTTTGTTTTGTTGCTGTCTGGTGGCCACCATGGTTCATCCATGCTCAAGTCCATGAATCAACAGTGACAGAACACCATAGAAGAGCAACACTATGGAAGAGAACTGGGAGCACCTGTGATCCCCATACCTTTCCAAAACATACATCAGTATTTTCAGATGCAAATCTTACTAGCTCGTAATAAAGTGTGGATCACTTAAGACCCTGGGCATTCTTATTAGAAATGCCACAGCAGAAATGCTCTTTGTAATTTCATGTTGTGACCTAAGCATAGCATCCTTTGTGTTTTAACCACTCTATTTATCAGAGTAAGCCTTTGACCTCAAATATGGGCTGTTATTTAGCTTTAATATGAAAGGGAGTATGACATTAAAATTGAGGCTTTGGCTACTATACCCGAAGGCACAGGCGGTAAAAAGTGGCATGCTACATTTAAAACAAAGCTGGTTTGTCATTGGCATATTTCAGTTTCTAATAATGTAACATTATTCCATTTGCTAAGTTCAGTAATTTTTAAGATAAATGAACTAAGTATATCTGGGCATAGTTTGATATGTATTATGATCTGGTGAGAAAACAGAAACAAAATTTTGCAATTGTCTTAATACTTTAAAACATGTTCACTTATTAATAATAAACTAAGATGTATGTTGCTGTCATCCACAGTCCAAACAGAAAAGTATCAGGTCAAAAGAGTTAAGATCAGAGCTTCAGGAAACCTGTGTGTCTTCCGGCACCAGTCTCTGCCTCTTCTCTACTGTGTGAACTTTATCAGGCTAATCATCGGCTTTTGTAGCTCTTGGTTTCTTCACCTACTGGTATTCAAATGGCACCTGCTTTGTTCAATGCTTGGAGGAGGCTCAAAGGACAGAATAAATCTAGAATACTTAGGATGGAGCTTGATGCCTGAAAACCACTCAGAAACTTCAAAATATACAAACTGTCGATTTTGAATTTTAGTCCTCCCTCCTAAGAGGTCTCCAAAGTGTCCATATGACATATATAGTCTACACCTTTCAGAATTCTGGTTTTTTTTTGTTCGACTGAGGCCTACACTGTCTATGACCTGGTTCTGGGTCTTCTGTTGGATGCAGGAGACGATACTCACCAGAGGACAGGATGATGAGAATATGTTTCCAGGCAGGAAGTTGTCATGCTTTTCTCTAGTCCGACTGTACCCATGTTCTCACTAGGATGATCTCTCCTTTCACTAATAATGCAGAGAAAGTTCTTGTGCAAAAAAATGTGAAAGTGCCAAAAATAAAATTGGGTGAACTACCAGCTTTCTTTATATCCATCCCACAAACCTGTTCATACTTAAAAGCAACAGTTGGGCTAAGATTTAATAGCAATAGTATCTTTTTAATTTGGATGTTGGATCAAAATTAGATCTGAAAGCAATGGAAAAATCAGTAAATCAGTTTTGGCTAATCACATCTTGGTTCAATATTTGAAATTGTTTATTGCATTCTCTTATCCATAATCACACCTTGCATTTTGCATGAGAGCACTGTGTTATTTGCCTTGTATTCCAAGGCTACTTAATAATAGTGACAAAGTACTT